CAGCTCGCGCCACGCCAAACTTCAAACTTCAGAATCCTACCGTCTGTCGTCCTGGTGATCATCGAATTTATCGAGGTACGGGCCAGCAAGGTCTCCGATTTTCCCAGTTGCGGGCGTCATGGTCAAATGGATCTTTGCAGCTTAAGGAACACGAAGAATTCCTTTATTCCTATCATACAGAACTTTTAAGAATAAATCTGGCCTCGCGATGACGCGCTACCATTGCAAATGCGCTTTAGTGGTATAGACGAGAACTCAGCCATATCGATCGGTGCTGGCCGCTAATGTTTTGAGAGAGAACAGGGCAATAGGAGGTACCAGGCTGTGTAACTAGGCAATAGGAAACCTACTCTCTCAAACTCTAGCGCCCGGCGCCAACTGCAACTCATCTATGGGTGCATTTTCGTCTGTAGCACTGGAGCGTATTGCAATGAAAGCGCGTCAACGCGAAGTCTGAGCTTTGCTTTGAATGATCCTGGGGAGACTGGGAACCTCAGTGACTACCAGGGAATTTGATCAGTCAACTCTGAATTTTTATCGACTGTTGCAACCAATACAGTGACTTCCCAGTAAACAATTTTTCAATGAAGGAATGCGATTTTGCTGGTTGATAAGAATTGAAGCGTTTCAATTCGACAAGATTCTCTGCTCTCTATCTCTGCATCTATTTGACAGACCCGCCGAATTTGCAGTTCATTCATATGTCATGAGGTGTAGGCTACCTTATGTCATGATTGACTCATCACTACTCTCTGGCTAGATTTTTTGGTATTACAGGTGGCGCGCTGGCCTGAGGGCATGACTGAATCAGATGATGGGAGTTTCTTCGATGAACCTGTATTTCGAGGTGCAGCTGGAGAAGAAGTGAGTGATGTAGCTTCATAAGTCCGAAGTGCTCTCTATCTAAGTCCGAAGGGCAGCATATCGCTGTTTCATGCTTAATTTTCTTTGGTGATTCTCGCCGTACATGGAGGTGCAAGTATAAGTGTTGTACCAACTAGGAACCAGAGTCACAAGCGCTGGATTTTGGTGACGAAGCACTCGAAATAGGAAGTGGTGACCGAAATGTTGAAGAATCACAGGATGACAACAGCGATAGCCCTTTTATTGCGCAAATGCCTGTGACGCCACCGCCTGTGTCCCATCTGCTGAATGAACAACCTGCTCCTTCAACAACTCCTAGCAAAATAGCGCAGTTCGCCAGCAGGATGGGAATGATTCCGCCAAAGGTGCGTAGCAGGATTTTATAAGTGACATGGCGTTTCGTATAGCGCTTAATATATTTTCAGGTTCAGAAGCCTTCAAATGTGACGGACGTAGTCATGGATGACGATGAACAAAGACCCACATCTACAGTAACGAAAAGGAGTGCCAAAATTACGCTCAGTCCAACGAAGGCAATCAAAAGAAAACGGTTCGTTTATGTGTGGAATAGTACGCTTTTTCTGCAAAAATGTTGTTTGATAGCCAGCGAGTCGTTTCGAAGCATCGGCCCTAGTAGGGAGCTTTGAAGGCAGCCCCGCGCTCAAGTAGTACATGGTCGTCCTTCCTTGTGCAAGTAGTACAGCCCCCAAGCTAGAGACTCTCGCAACTCCACAGCGAGCGATTAGCGAGCTACAGCCGCTGAAAGTTCTAGTTCTAACGCCCGCCCAGTTGGACCGCCCACTTGCTAGATGCCCTCTGACGGAGGGCCGCTCAGTTGTTCTTGGGGCGGCGGGCATTAATCGGAATTGCATGCCCTTTTTGCTGACCGCGCTCGTGCCCATGAATGATTCTGCTCTCCTTTATTACATTTTATTCATTAGGAGCACATACAGTCAACTCCAACCCATCTCGCAAGGTAAAACGCGTAAAAATCAGAGCGACCCAATTTTCGTGGTGCAATAGCTCGACATGCACTGCACGTAACCCCGAATTCGGACGCCAAGTTTTTAAAATTTTCTTTTTAAGTGTTTTTCGTTCGTGTTTTTGTTGTTTTTCGTATTCTTTTCTTTGCATGGATGATATCCACTACCGGCGAGATGTGATAAAGGGATTTGTGAGGACTCTTCTTGCTTTTTTTCTTCTTTGGGGAATTACTTATCAGCTACTGTTTCATAATTGAAAGCAACTATTCCTGACACTTTTATCGCGGGAGCTGTCTTTAAAAACAATCCCGGCGCTCGAGCAGTTTGTAGACGACCTTCCTTGTAGAAATAGTCTGGTCCTCAATTCCTAAGACTGACCCCCTTTTTTGCGGCTTCGCAGTAAGTAACGAAGGCACTCATAGGAGCTGTTCTGGCGCCTCATCAATAGTCCTGCCTACCGGAACGCAAAGGCTATTCTCCTGCGCGGATTCAGTTTCTCTACAATGTTTTCCGTTGAATTTTTTCCACTGTTAGATGGTATTAGAACTTGTTGACGCGAAGAAACGACTAGTGAGGCGGAGGCGGCAGGATATCGCTACGCCGGCATAAAACGAGCAGGCTCAGAGAACTCGTCCAGAGAGGCTGCCAGGTCCTTTAGGGTGTTCTCCATGGCCTTTTTTCTTTTTTCTTCCCTGAAGAGTCATCCAGCGACTGTGGCGGTCATTGATCGCCGATAATCCACAATATGAACGCGATTCGTCTTCAAACTACGAACCCACCAAGTTCGATGCATTCCCAATCTGCGCCGATACGTTGTGAATTTCGCTCATAGGAACTGTTCACCTTATGCCTCCACAATGCTCGAAACTAAAGTGGTCTTTCTAGAGCGTTCCTTCCAATTTTTCATATGTCTTCGGTAGCTCAGTATATTCCCTTTCACGTTTGAGCACACTACCTCGTGAAATGCGATGGAATGTTTAATTTGTAGTAGAAGTATAGTTGGTATCTTTGCACCGATTGGAGCGGTTAAGGTGAGGCAGAATGAACCCGTCTCCAAATGCCTTTTCTCCCAATAGCGATCAGTCAGTAATCGATTCAGGAAGGAGTTGGTGTGAAAACACCGCCGGTGGGCTCATTCCATGCCTGCAGAGACCGCCCCGACTAACCGATACGATATCACTGCTTTACCTATGAGCTGCGTGAAAACCGCTACCAGTAACTGATAGCCAAAGTGCCATTGCCAGCTCCGCAAAAGCCGTTGCGGATCAACCCGCATGTAAATTCGTCATTTATGCACCACCAGGTCTCGTTCAACATTCGGCACAGTGACGACTGAGCATAGAGCCTCGACCATGGGTAAACGTCATGAAAGACCGCAGCTAACTGGGACTCATTTTCATATGGTGAGTACTGGTGACCATGCGCGAATGGGTGATTTATCTGGCCCTTCGTAACCTGGACTTATGCCTGTCCTCCTAAAGTTCATAATTTTTCTACGTTAAGTCTAAAGTCTAAAGTCTTCGCCGTTGATCAATCCCTTTGTGGGATGCGGCACGCATTCTACTTCCATTCAGAATCGTAGTGGCTTACTGAATGCGATGTGGCGCGGGGGCCAGCGTCTTGTTATACTCCCAAACAAATCTGGTACCATTTTACCGTCCCGGAGGGTGGAAGGCTTGGTTGGCCTGGGCGGCAGTCGACGCGGGATTTGAACCCAGGACCGCGTGAGTAGTGAGCGCACTTGTTCACTACACCACCCCCACCTTTTCCTTTTCCTACCATTGTGTGTGTGTGTTGTGTGTGTTGTGTAGTTGAGTAGTGGTCTGTATCGACAAACGCTCAGTATGTGCCATTTTAGCTTTGGTTGCGGTGGAGCAGTGAACACGTTCGTTTTTATGGATTTTGAGACTACTGGTAGGGTGACGGGAAGTAACGACTCGCAGTATCGTCTTCTGGAAGGGAAACTGCATGAACCGCATGACTTTAGCAACACGCTGACGAAGCTGATAGTGGAAAGTGAGGATAAGCTTACTTACGCCTTTCAAAGCAGTGGGTATGATGGATGGAGGCGTGCGGTGGCCGCCAGGGTCATTGGTGGAAGGGGTGCGAGAGGGCATGTGACCGCACCCCTCCCTCTCATCCCTTCCACCAGTGCCGGTGATAGTAACCACCCGCCCTCAGCCATCGTGCCCGCTGCCGTTGTCTTTTCTGTCCTTGCCTTCGAGCGCATTTTGGGGCCTCTATTTCAGCTCAACGCAGTGAATATCCACGTATTACGGAGATGTCGTTCATCAGCGTGCCACGCGATGTGTTTGTACGTGGACAGGCGAAGATGAAGGAATTATCCAACACGGTAAGGCTTGAACGCATTTCAAGGCTAATCGATGATTAGGTAAAAATGAGTGAAATAGTACCTCCCGGGGACAACCGCAAGACTGCTAGGCTTCGCTTCTTGCCCTTCTGTCGTCGGCCCTCGAGCTTCAAACCCTCATTGTCGTGGACCCTTTCATGCTCGAATCTGCAAAAAAGGGACCCTGAACAGGACATTTTCAATATTTTCTTATTCTTTTCTCCGTTGGTAGATTAGAAGTGCCTAGGATTCGATATTTGGATCCCTTACCCACATTATGTGGTGTAGTGACAAGTGGCGCGCTTACCACTCGCGCGGTCCCGAGTTCGAATCCCGGGTCGACTCCCGCCCAGGCCAACCAAGCCTTCTACCCGGGCAGGGCACGCCATCGATGATGATGTTCGACGGGGGTCGTATTTGACCGCGAGGAGAGGGCGCATCGATAATTTGCGGTCTAGCCGAAAAAAATTTTTCGATAGATTTTTTGATTTTTCTTGTGTTGTTACAGGACCGCCTACACAAGGGGGAGGGGGGGGGGCCGTCCGTTAGATTTGGATCGTGTGTTGAGGAGAGGGGAACTGTGAACGATCTCTATGCTACTACTTCTCATAGTGGACAATTGTAGTTAAATCCCTGCGACCTTCCTCCCCCCCCCCCCCCTCCCCCGCTCACAGAAAATTTTGATGAAAAACGGCGAACATTTTTCGGGAAAAAATGGAAAAAGTTGTGGAAATCTAGCAAAGCGGTGGGTAGCATGGGGAGGGGAGTCGTATTTGAAAATGGAATTAAGGGGGGTATGTTGAGGAAATTGATCACAACGCAATCGGTTATGCCCTGCCTCGGGGACTGGCAAAGTGATACCAAAATTTAGTGTGGGAGGATAGAACCACTGACTGGTGTTGCATCGGCTGGCTCCCGCAAGTCATCGTAGGAGACATCGTATTCAATAATGTCACCGATTATTGAACTGAGAAGCAGAATGCGCTGCCGACATCCCACGGAAGGGATTGATCAAACGGCAGAAGGACTGATCGTTTCTTTTACCACGTCAGCTAGTGAGATGTTGTTTTACATTGAAATTCTTTCTTTTATTTCTTACTTGCTTCATACTGTTCTCTTGTTTTTTTTTTCTTTTTTTACTGATACATCAACTGTACAAAGAGCAACAGTCTGCTCGTTCAAAGAGCATGAAGTGAATTCATGCCCCGATCTTTCAGCCGACCTGATGCGCCTGCAAGTACGCCTCGCCGCAAATGTTCATTCTCGTCAAGTGAATCCTGAACTGGACGAAAAACATTGGATTGCTTATGAAGCTTCTAGAATTGCTGGGAAAAGTTGTAAGTTGGCCTTTTAAAACATCTTATGAAAACCCTACGGCTGATACGTCTTACTGGATTGGCCGAGGGTGCCCGCGTCAAGTGTGAATGCTATGTCCGTATTGAACATTGAGTAACCCTTGGTATAGGTTGAGCGAAATTACGTCTAGGAGTTGTAATAGCCTACGAAATGCCAGGCGGAGGTGGCAAGTGATGACGCTTACCACGTGCACAGGTTTGGAGCGGGAGAGGGGGAGGTAAAATTCTGGACCGAATCCCGTGGAATGGCTAATTGATACCAGACTCGTGTGGGAGGTTGAAAACACTGGCGTGTGCATCAACAGGCTAGGAAATCACTGTATGAGCCAGATCACATCAAAAGCCTTTACGATTCTGAATGGAAGTAGAATGCGTCTTGAAAAAAGATCGATGACACAAAATGTTTAACCCTTCTGGGTTTTGAAATTCCATTAGTCCCCTCCGACTACAACAGCACTCTTTCTGCATTGTGAACGATGCATTGTGAACAATGATTTCAGGCATCAACCTTGCTCGTGAAGACCTCATGTTAAAGTGTACATTTGCTCAAGAGTGGCCAGCTGTGAGAGCGTTTCTGGAGTCTTGTCCAAAGCCTGCTTGTCTCGGTATGTGATTCTAATCCAAGAAGTGCAGTAGTAATTCTAACTGCTGTCATTGGTTTTAGTGGCCCACAACGGTTTATCGTTCGACTATCGTGTGTTATATGGTGAACTGGCACGTTGCGGTTTTATTGATAAGGATATGGGAATCCCAGAGGGAGTGAGTGGGCTCGAGTGAAGAACTGCGGTGTTTTTTGTAGCACAGTGATATTTGAAGGTTGTCTTCGTTGATTCATATCTGGCTATTCGAGAAATCGAGGAAAGGCATCGAAATGAGCTGCTGCATGCGACGAGAATGGTTGACTGGAAAATGCGTGAGTTTTCTTCCAAAGGCTCTGCACAGTATTAGTCTAACAAGGAAGGGATACTGGATAGGGTTTTCCGTTGAATCCCTAAAACGTTCACCTCATTTCTGTCTACCATAACGAGTCGGTAAAATAGGCCACGAGGTACCCTATGCCATCATACGCCGCGTCGCAGCAAGACTTAAACGAAAGGGAGGTAATAAGTGAGCGCTGTAGGTATCTCTTACAGACCACATCGCATTCAGTAATCACTACGATTCTAAATGGAACAAGAATACGTACCGGATCCCACAAAGGGATTGATCAACGGCAAAGATTTTACCTTTTTTTTATTTAGCTCGCAATTAGTCTAGAATAGGAAAGGGGGTCAAAGGTCCAGTGTGAAG